AACTTCTTTTTATGTCATTTTTAATGTCCAAAATAAGTAATACAAATCCAAAATTTGAAATACAAAATCATCTTCTGAACTCTAAATTAAAATATGAATCCTCCTTAATTCTCATCTTCATTATGTTTTACTAGGACTTTGATATATATATATATATATATATATATATAGTTTCAAATTTTCATTTTGTTGGCGATCAAATTTACAAACAACTGACATCAGGATAACATGTCATGAGTGTTTCCCTAAAACTGGGGTGTTAAGTTCCAAACTTTATTTTTTTAAAGCAATTTGAAAATAAAACATTAAAGGGCTAAAACGGGGTAATTCGAGTCTAAATCCAAATTTTCCGAGCTTATTTTGAAAAAAAACAACTCTAATTTTTAAAACCGACCCTAAAAAAAGGACTTAAACGCATCTTAACTTTAACAATAAAATTATTGTGTCATAACTTATTTAAATAGTAATATAATAACATCCTTAAAACTTAATACAACACTTATTTAGCTTTTGTTTCAAGAAGTAATTATGATTTTAAGGTATTTTCATTTTAATTTTCTTAATCTGAAACTTTAGATATGATTGTTTTTGTTGCAAACCTGTGATAATTGTTGTTTTATTGTTTACTATCTAGACACACACATAAAGGTCAAGCTAACATTGCAATAATCATTAATTAATTAGTTGGTTTGGGGTCTAACCATCGTTTCTAAGTACTGATGAATAGGGTTAACTAAGTTTTGATTGTTATTCGAGTAATTATTCGACCTCTAATTTATAATCACGTTCATATAATTGAACTATTACTTAACTGATTGCTTTACAGAATTTATTAATTGAGGGAATTAAGACATAATGATTGATGTATTTTGTTTAAGAAAACATAATAGTGTTGTTATCATGAATATAACATTTTGAAAGAAGCTTAGCTCTCTGGCAAAGAAATATTATGAAAGAAGCTTTGCTCTCTAGCAAAGAAATATTAAATTATCCACTACCCAAAATTTAGAGGAATAACAAAAGTTGGCCAGACCAACGTCAAGTGAATATTATTATACTGATATGAAATTATTACTCCTATAAAACTGATTTACAACACCGAATTTATTTATTTGAAGGAAAGTGTTTTTAATTAAGTTTTAATGGCCTCTCTAGAAATGTATGCCTGTGTCTTTAATTTTTATTGAAATAGTATATTTATATCTTTCTATATTTGTAAAGTATAGATACGCCTGCTATAAAAACAAAACATAAACTATTTGAATTTATTTTAAATTTTATTAGAAATATACGTGATTCTCTGCTATATTTAAAAGTTATGCAATTTAAAAATAAAAGTCAATATAATTTTTGGTCTCTTAAGTTTGTTTTTATTTTGTTTTTGGCCGCCTTAAGTTTTAAATTATAAGTTATGGTTCCTCAAGTTTATTTTCATTTAAAATATTGTTCTTTATAATTTAATAAAAACTTGAATCATATTGCTCATTGAGAGATCAAAACCTATGATTTAAAATTCGAAGGACAAAACCAAAATTTGTGTAAACTTGAGAGACTAAAAATTATGTGTATTTTAAAAATAAAAAAGAAATCTACATGATGTCAGAAAATTTGAAAAAATCATGTAATTTTTAAAAATTTTTAAAGATCAAATTAATTTAAAAAATAGAAGAGAAGAGAAATTCTATAATTTAAAAAATAAAATTGAAAATTGGCCAAGATAAGTTCATTGAATAAATATACATTCTTGTGTTATATTTAAGAAAAATGAAAAAGAAAATATTGGCACAGCACGCCACCCAGTTTCAAAGACTAATACATTTGAAAGATTCATAATCACAGGTTCTTATAATTTATTTCTAGTCACTTTCTTATTTACGGAAGCAGTTGGCATGGGATGATAGCTAGAGTTTTATTAAATTGTAATAAAAATACAAACAAGTTGTTCAATAATGGTATAAATATTAATAACAATATTTATTAAGATACACAAAATTACCAGTTACATGTTATTGTCCAAACAAAGACTTAGAATGTGAAATATACCTAAACGGCATGGTACGTCAAGATTAAGGGAATCCTGTGTGATTTAAAAAGCTGTGTTATTTTTTTCTTTTTTATAAAGAGATCTTTTAACTGCGTTCTATATTTGATTTTGATCCATGGATTACAGGTAATTAAATTTGTGCAAGTGAAAATGATGAAAAAAGTGAAAGGTTATATGGCTGAGAAAATATTAAGATAGTAAGTGCTCTCACTTGATCAAGAGAACATAAATTTAAATCCCAAAAAGTACACTTGTTGTTGTTAAGAGAAGAAAACTCTTTGCGCTCTAAATATTAAAAGGAGAAACCCAAAAAAAAAAAGAGTTAAAGTTTTAATAAACAGGCTTGATTTCCATTTTAAATATTTTTTGAAAAAAATAATGGGGAAAGACGTCTACTTAGGATGTGAAAGTGTTAACACTTGAAAAGAAAGTTATATGATACTCTAACTTAATATGTGAAAAGCATGCATTGTAATCTCAGTTTTATTTAAAAAAATAGTTAGAGGGGTCCATATATATCATTCCCTAATTTTTGGAGGAAGAAGTACGAATTAAGTGCTCTAGTTTTATATAATATTTTAGTTTAGTCTTTTAATTTTTTAAAGTATTCTTCTTTAACCTTAACATAATTAGTTTCAATTGATATTTTTTGTGCTAATCATTATTATTTTAAAAATTAAATTTAATATGTCACTAGTTCTAATATTTTGTTAACCTTAACCCTCTCTTTTTGCATTCACATGAAACCAAATTTGAGATTTACTACCTCTAATCCTTAATACAAAATATAATTGGAAGTTATATTTAATTTTAAATATAAGACGACAATCTATTTTGTCTTCTAATTTTATTTTTTCTAAAATATTCTTTTTTATTATAACTTTGTAAGGGATTTGCACCAAAAAATAATTCTAATACATATAATTGAAGATGGTGGTTTAAAGAAACAAACACATATTTGTTACAGATAAACAACTTAACTTATTTTATTAATGTCTCTAAATTAATTATCTAGTTTTTATATTAAAAAGCACCGATGATGCCATAACCCCTTTCACCAAGAAAATCCAGTAAGGCTTATGTGTGGGGGGCCGGGGGGCACCACAGGGTATAGATTTCTGAAGGGGGTGATAGGTGTAAGGAAAATGGGACAAGCTGTGTGATAGGGGAAGAGGACATGAAAGGCTTCACATGGGGTCTGCATTTCACGTCCTTTTCGTAAGATTAGGATGCCATGTTATTTGTGTGTATATTTCCTTGTGTGCTTCATTCGGTGGCATTCTTCAATCTAACTATATATCCCTTCTCGAGAAGAGCAGGCAATATTCTTACTACAACATCAAGTAACCACTCTGCTAAATTGATTGAAACTCAATATATCACATTTTTTCCTATTTTTTGTAAATAGATTATGATTAAAAAAATTAAATATGGATTGTTTAAATTTAATTTAGATGATCCAGGTAATCATATATTAAGAGATTAAGAGATACTTCTCCAGTCCCAAATATGAGACTCATTTTGTAGTGCAATTCATATTATAAAATGAGTTTTATATTTAAAATCAGAAAAAGTACTGTATAAGAAGATATGATTGTATACAGGGATAATATTTTATAGTATTACAGTTTTTTCCTTTCATCTTCATCTTAATGCATCATATGTACGTATAAAGCTAGTTAGCCTTTGGCATCAAAGAGATAGAGATGGAGGGGGAAAGGAGGGGCGGAGAAACAATAAGTTCGATTATAAATTGTTAAAGTGGGGTTAGAAATATTTTTTTAAATATAATTTAGAGTATTCTCAAATCACTTTGGTCTTGAGGATAACCTCTAGCGAATCAAAAGCGTTAAGGTTAAAACCGTCTAAACAAGCGTGCTTTTTAGGATTTAAACTTGTGTTCTCATTCTTAAGAAAGTGAGATTGCTTACTGTCTCAATTAAGAGCTTGTTGGTTAGAAATATTTAATGGGTTAAAGTACAAATTTGTTCTGAAAGTTTTTATTCAGGAATGCTAAGTATCCGAAAGTTTTTTTGGGAGCAAATTTGCCTCAAAATTTTAAAATTGTAACAATATTATCCTGTCGTTAAAAATATTAATGGTTAACATTATTATTTTAACGGGTAACCTTAATCTTTTGACAGTGAATGATAATATTGTTACAATTTTAAATTTCTAGAACAAATTTGCTTTAAAAAAAAAACTTTCGGATATCCAAATTTCTTGAGTGAAAACTTTCAAAATCAATTTCTAGCTTAACCCATATTTATTTAATTTTTCTTATTCTTTTATGTTACATTTTTCTTTATTAAAATTTTATAACTCAATTTCTTTATTTTTTTAAAAATAAAAAATTTATTAAAATTTTTTCTCCTTTGTGAACTCTTCCCTACAAATAGGACGTTGCTGACTTGATTTTGCTTATCTTCTTTAATTTTAAAAAACAGTGTATTTATATTGTTAATATTTATATAGAAATAAATATGATAAAAAATTAAAAATAAATTTAAATTCTAAAAATAATATCTAAAAATTGAAAAATAGAATATTCTTGATACACCTCAAAATAATTTTTTTTAAAACAAACAAATAATTATATAGTTTTTAATTCTTATTTTTTTACCATCGTTTTTAATTCTTATTTGATAGCTTGCTTCCCACATATTTAAAATTTCACGTTTATTGGGAACAATGCGCTAAAATAATTTATTAATTAATTTTATCAAGAAAATCAGGTAACCACACCCGGAGGACTAAGCCCAATTAAAAGTAGGTGGCGCGAAATCTACTGTCCCCACACTACTACTTCCCTCGTTTCCCAACTGAAACCGTTTCCTATATACTCTTTCAAATAATTATTCTTTTTTTTTTAAATCTTAATTAAACCTTTTTAGGAGCAAGAAATCATCATTTTTCTCTTCTTTTAATTCTCTCGCTTTCTCCTTCCCTCTCTCTGCTTCAAAACTAGAAAACACCTCGCGCCGGAAAATATTGACCTCCGACGTCCGCTTGCTGTCTTTCCGTCAATCTCCCGGGGGGGCGTTTGTAAGATCCACACTTTGCTTGTTGTTCGATTTTGGAAGAGTTAGAGGGTTTTGGATTCTCTCTTTTGGTTTTGGAGGACCAAGGAAGGAATTATTCCCGGTTTCTTTAGGGTTCACGGATTGGTTGTTGATGCTCTGTGGTTAATCTGAAGGTCTGAGTATCGACTAGCTCTCATCTGATTGGAAGTTGTTGTTGTTATTCAATGGTAAGGTGAGGTTTTAAACGACTGGATCAATTATGTTTTGATTAATTTTCCTTTTGTGATTTTCTCTGTTCGATCTGGATCGCTTTATTTAGTATTACATCAATGCGGAAATGACTTTAGGGTCCGTTTCTGATCAAATTCTGTTGAGCAAATTCTTTTTATTCTCTTGCTTTGATTGAGAATACAGAAAGATGGATTTTACTTCTCAGAAAGAAGATAATTTTTTCAATAAATGGAACGAGTTTTTTCATTGAACAAGAGTTTTTAGAATCAGATTCGATGAACTTGATGTTTTCAATTTAATTTGCACTGGAACTGGAGTTTTCTTATAAAGATATTACACGAACAGTTGAACACTGAACGTGTCTTCAGCAAGACAGACACGAACCTGTCAATCCAGACACGTCATGGATCCCTTTTCAGAACCCTTGCTTCTTTTTAAAATTTCTCCTGGGAAAAAAGTTTTCTGGATTTCATCAATACTTGTTGATCGTAATAATATGCAACATAATTCGGAGTCGTCAAGACGAAATTACTATTTTGTCTTATTTCGCTGGAAGCGATGTCTCTGTATTGAATGCTGCTTTTTATTTCTCTAATAATATTAGGTTTGCACAATTGGTTAAGGGGGATGGATAGTGATCGCCTCAGCACGTGGTCCTCCATGTCTTTATCCATCTCCCCGAGAACATGAGCACCTGCGAGATCAACTGATTAAGAAATATCTTATTGTGCTCAAGAACAAATGAAATTTTTTTGACAGACCCCATTAGGAATCCGGTCTGGAAATTTAGAAGATAAAACTCATAAAACAGTTACTATGGTAAATACGTGGTTTATCTCAGTACAGTATAGGTATCGATCTGCCAGCTTAATTGAGTATATTTTATTCTGGGAAGGCTTTTTCTTTTGCCTCTGCAAGTTTCCGTATCACTTTCATTGAGTTCCCTTTCATGAAAAGGAGTTGAGAGAGAAGAAGAAACAGGACAGAGTGGGTTTATGTGGAGTAAACCTATTGCCAGCCCACCCGACCATGGCACTCCCGTGAGAGGGACAAAAGAGGAAAAATTAGAGGCTCCCTTACCCTACGCCCTTTTCCTTTCTTATCCTACAATAACCCCAATTTTTAAGGGTACCCCTCCTCTTGAATTTTCAGTTAACCGTCTCTAACGTCTAATGATCATCATTTAAAGCACGTTGAGACAGTTTCCGCGAGTTTCTCTGTCCCATTACACCAAATGCTGTATACCTTCTGTATATTCTTCTTGTATTGGCCTGATCTGGTCGGGTTCGAGTTTTATTTGATGATAAAAAAGTACCCACCTGCGTTTATTCGGTGCGATTCTCAAATTGGTTCTTCAGTAGATCTGAGTAACTGTAAAAATGAGCCTTTTTTCGATTTTCTTTTTGCCTTTGAGTGATTTTATTCTTCACCATTTTTTTCTTTCTTCATTTTTCCACTGGACAGTTTCTTACTTCAGTCATGCATTTGTGGCAGATTTACTGCAGAGGAAAGGACCTTCTTTCTGAATAATTGGTGTCGTTGGCTTAGAATGTGGGGTACATGATTGCTAAGGCTGTTAAATTAAGATTTATAACCAATTCTATCAATGTGGTCTAGTTTGGATAGAGTGGATGGATGTATATGAGTCAGCGCCAGCATTACGGAAGCAACCAGCTGAGGAGACTGGTAGACCACCCTTAATTGCCACCGGAAGAAAAAATGAAGTGGTCACCACCCGGCGCCCTCAAACAAGGGACATTAGTTCCAGGTATAAGTCACCTTCTCGGGCAACACCATCTAGTCCCAGACGATGCTCATCTCCGACCCCGACAAGAACAATCTCCACTTCCTCCAACTTGGTTCCCAAGAGAGCTCAATCAGTGGAAAGGAACCGGCCTTCAACTCTTTCATCCGCAAGACCTTCTACGCCAGTCCGTGATTCGTCTGTGGATGTGCACTTCTCTTCCAGAAGGACAGTAGGTAGTCGTTTGCAGGAGAGTTTATGGCCTTCAACAATGCGAAGCTTAAGCGTTTCTTTCCAATCAGATGGCGTTTCTGTACCTGTTGGCAAGAAAGAGAAACCAAATACTAGCACTTCTGATCGCACTCTGCGGCCGACTTCAAATGTGGCACCCAAGCCGGCTGAACCTCCAACTGTACATAAGCCTATGCCGGAGAGAATGCGTAGTCCTCTGAAAGGGAAGAATACCTCTGATCACTCAGAGAATTCAAAACCAGTTGATGGTTTGCATTCTCGGTTGATTGATCAGCATCGGTGGCCATGTAGTATAGGTGGGAAGGTGTCTTCTAACGCAACAAATCGGAGTGTCGATCTTGCTGATAAGTCAATCAGAACATTGAATTCTTCAGTTCCTAGAACTGGTTTGTCTTCACTAAGAAGGTTGTCTTTATTGGCCGAAACAAGTAAACCCGTACAAAAGTCCACAAATGATACTGTAAGAAATGTATCGATGGTTGAAAGTGATAGAACAGGAAACGAGGTAAAATCAGTTAATGATAATTTGCTACCGGTATTAAGACCTCTCAAACTTGTTTCTGCAAGTCAATCTGGTAAAATAGCTCCAAGAACTCCCTCAGTCGGATCTCAGTCCTTGCCAACTCCAAGATCACGTCCGTCCTCCCCTAGCAAGACCTCAATCCTATCCTCATCTAGTGCAAGAGGCATCAGTCCATCTCGGTCCCGGCCGTCAACTCCTCCTTCTAGAGGAGTTAGTCCCTCTCGAATAAGGTCAACCAGTTTATCCAGTCAATCCAACAGTTCAATTTCCGTGCTTAGTTTTATTGCTGATTTTAGAAAAGGGAAAAGGACGACCCACATAGATGATGCTCACCAATTGCGACTTCTTTACAACCGGCATTTGCAATGGAGATTTGTCAATGCAAGAGCAGAGGATGTGCTTTGTATCCAAACTGCAGCTGCAGAGGTATGACCTACTATCTTTGATAGCCCTTTAGCAACACATGTTAAATCATTTACAAATGATTTACCAGATTTTATTCAACCGCGCAGAAAGTTCTGTTTAATGTATGGAAGGCTACTTTGTCCCTATGGGATTCAGTTATTAGGAAGAGGATCAGTCTCCAGCAGCTGAAACTTGAGCTCAAGCTAAACTCTATTCTGAATGATCAGGTAATCGTATTTCTTCACTGAAATTCGTCCTTTTATATACCGTGTTCTATTGCTGATGGTATATTGTAATCATTTTATGTTGTCTCTAAGATTAATATTTCGGGAAGAGATATACACATAACAAGGTTGGCACTATATATAGATAAATTATGTTTATGCTAGTTTATATTTTAAGCACATAGGTTACTTTAAGTTTTATATTCAGTCTAATATTGGTGATTTTCTGTGGAAAGACAAATAACTGTGAAAGCTGAGGTTCTAATTTTACTTCTTACGGGCGTGTGATTCTATTTGCTTTGTTTTTAAGTGTTGGTTTTCTCTACAATGACTGAAACAGATTGCCTACCTAGATGATTGGGCTTTACTAGAGAGAGAGATCACATAAATGCTCTATCTGGGGCTATTCAAGACT